TTTCTGTATCGCTCTATAATTGATGTATTGAGCACTATTTTAACTGTAGTATTTTTATATCACTCTACAATTGTTGTATTGAGCACTATTTTAACAGTGGTATTTCTATATCACTCTACAATTGATATATTGAGCACTATTTTAACAGTGGTATTTCTATATAGCTTTACAATTGATGTATTGAGCACTGTTTTAACAGCGATATTTCTATATCGCTCTACAATTGATGTATTGAGCACTATTTTAACAGTGGTATTTCTATATCGCTCTACAATATTGAGTACTATTTTAACAGTGGTATTTTATATCACTCTACAATTGATGTATTGAGCACTATTTTAACAGTGGTATTTCTATATCACTCTACAATTGATGTATTGAGCACCATTTTAACAGTGGTATTTCTATATCACTCTACAATATTGAGTACTATTTTAACAGTGGTGCTTCTATATCACTCTACAATTGATGTATTGAGCACTATTTTAACAGTGGTATTTCTATATCGCTCTACAATTGATGTATTGAGCACTATTTTAACAGTGGTCTTTCTATATCGCTCTACAATTGATGTATTGAGCACTATTTCAACGGTGGTATTTCTATATCACTCTACAATTGATGTATTGAGCACTATTTTAACAGTGGTATTTCTATTTCGCTCTACAATTGATGTATTGAGCACTATTTTGACAGTGGTATTTCTATATCGCTCTACAATTGATGTATTGAGCACTATTTTAACAGTGGTATTTCTATATCACTCTACAATTGATGTATTGAGCACCATTTTAACAGTGGTATTTCTATATCACTCTACAATATTGAGTACTATTTTAACAGTGGTGCTTCTATATCGCTCTACACTTGTATTGAGCACTATTTTAACAGTGGTATTTCTATATCGCTCTACAATTGATGTATTGAGCACTATTTTAACAGTGGTATTTCTATATCACTCTACAAGTGATGTATTGAGCACTATTTTAACAGTGGTATTTCTATATCACTCTACAAGTGATGTATTGAGCACTATTTTAACAGTGGTATTTCTATATCACTCTACAAGTGATGTATTGAGCACCATTTTAACAGTGGTATTTCTATATCACTCTACAATATTGAGTACTATTTTAACAGTGGTGTTTCTATATCGCTCTACACTTGTATTGAGCACTATTTTAACTGTGGTATTTCTATATCGCTCTACAATTGATGTATTGAGCACTATTTTAACAGTGGTATTTCTATATCACTCTACAAGTGATGTATTGAGCACTATTTTAACAGTGGTATTTCTGTATCGCTCTACAATTGATGTATTGAGCACTATTTTAACAGTGGTATTTCTATATCACTCTACAATATAGAGCACTATTTTAACAGTGGTATTTCTATATCACTCTACAATAATGAGTACTATTTTAACAGTGGTATTTCTATATCACTCCACAATTGCTGTATTGGGCACTATTTTAACAGTGGTATTTCTATATCACTCTACAATATTGAGTACTATTTTAACAATGGTATTTCTATATCACTCTACAATATTGAGTACTATTTTAACAGTGGTATTTCTATATCACTCTACAATATTGAGTACTATTTTAACAATGGTATTTCTATATCACTCTACAATATTGAGTACTATTTTAACAGTGGTATTTCTATATCACTCTACAATTGATGTATTGAGCACTATTTTAACAGTGGTATTTCTGTATCACTCTACAATTGATGTATTGAGCACTATTTTAACAGTGGTATTTCTATATCGCTCTACAATATTGAGTACTATTTTAACAATGGTATTTCTATATAGCTATACAATTGTATGGCGTCTTTTTGCAAATGAGTCCCAATGAGAGCACAAATACACGAAAATATCTTAACTGGCAGTATAGTACCGATGTCTTTAATCCGACTCGAGTTTTCGAAGGAGACCTTGACTCTGTTTGAATCGTTCTAAATCGTTCGGCTATTTGGCTTGACATATCGAGAGTGCCGATCCGGATGGGCAGATATTTGGATTCTGATTTTTCTGACATGTCGAGAGTGCCGATCCGGATGTGTGTTCACAATTACCCGCGTTTGAAAGTTAAAAAAGACAATTCATATATAGAAAAGACATCTATGGAAATAGTAAATGAAACTCCTATAGGTTGAGACGTTTTAGTTGAAATTATGCGATTCTTGCACATAATTTCTAGTTATTCTGAAGACTATTTATGCAAGACCTGATTTTGATTTTTTGTGTTCTTTCGAAATCTCTGAGGTCCAAATAATAGAAAATGGGCAAATATATACACATATAAGTAAAACAACCGAAATTTTATTAGAACTTTCTGAACTGTTAGAAGGCTATCGTCGAGTGTTGTCGGATTAGTTTGATAATTACGGACACCGTATTATCATTATATTATGGCGATCATTTCAATAAAGTTTATGAATTCAGAATCCGAAAAATGGGTCCATTTAAGATAGCCTAAACAAAATAATGAGTAAGTTGAAAAAATTCGCCCTCAAATAAAATATGTTATTGGTTCACGTTTTCGGGCTACACTTTTGGTTACGTTTTTGTAAATAACCTCCTTTACAGACATGCGCACAAAATGTAAATAAAGTCAAGTCTAGGTTTGTAGTACTTGACAGTGAATGTTCGAAGGTATTTTTATGAATAAGTCCAATGATTATAAAATATGTACGGTTGGCCCTCCTTAATAATCGTCTTGATGCCTCCCAACCTACATTTTCCAAATAGTAGTATTTTATTTTACTTTGCAAGTAGAAACACTCGAATTTACGACTTCTTTTCATTAGCCTATTCCATTTCCAAATAGATATTTATTTACAAGGCCAACAAGACAACATTATCATATTATGGAATGGTGATGATCCTTGTCCTTAGTCTCGATATTCTATTCTTTGACCTAAGTTCACTGTTTCTAACAAAATTCCTTCAGGAATTTGAAATCATTAGGATTAAGAGTTCAACTAAATTTTGTCATTGAAATGGATAACCGTGTCAAAATCGGTCGAGTCTTCTGTAAAAATTTAACCTTTGATTCAGCAGGTTGACGTTGACAGGTTTGCCATTCATTTGACCTATTGTAAATTAGTCTCAGAAACTAACACTGATCTGTGACGTCATCAAACACTTAGTAAGGAACTATAGATGTCTTGTAATGGTGCAAATTGATTCTATCAGTGTCCCCAATACACATAAAAACTTTAGAAAACCTCTTTACAATCTTTTTAAATGAGATTATTGGTACAACTGTTTATTTGTCATTTCAGATTGACATAAAGCATAATTATGGTGGACACAAGAAAGCTATGTATTGTTCTCAAACAGGAACGAATGTTTATAGACACAGAAAAAGAACAACTACAGAGGCTATATGAAGAGGTCTCTCATGTGGCTACCTCCCTTTTTCAAACAGCATGGATTACAAAGCAACAAAAAATAGATTTAGACAAAAAAATCTCAGGCGAATTCCGGCGGAAACCAGATGGATTTTTTGACGATCATAATGAAATAGGTTCCGTTTCTTTTATAGAGAGCTATAAACAACTTTCTTATCATGATGGCAAATATGGTGAACTTTTGAAATATATGAAGGAAAATCCTCTGTTAATATCAAAATGCTTGGTGCTGGCTGAAAACAGAAACAGTTTTGATATGAGCCAGTTGACAAGCACTCTGTTATCATCATTGTATTCTAATTGTATATTAGTAGAAGATGAACGCCTAGTTTTAAGAGTTCTGTTATCATTAACAGATTTACAGGTAATCGGAGATGTGAATCCCAGACATTTTATCCGAAGAAAAAAATGCACGTTTAATATTTTATTTAAACATTTCTGTGACTCGTTATATTCTGCTAAATTATTTTTAACGGCATCCTTGCATGATCCGATCATGAGATTGTTGATGGAAGATGAATGGTTCTACGATATAGATCAGACCAAAGCTCTCGTCAGATTTCCAACCAAAGAAAGACTAAAAAGATTCGGTAAAGCTGGTTCTGAAAACTATGAAAACAAGATCAAAGAATATAGAAATTTTGTGGTGGACAAACTGGAGATGTTCGCTGCAAGATTTATCAATTCCATTAAAAGCAATATCACTTGTTTTCCGTCAAGTTTAAAACTTCTGTTATCCCACGTGTACCATAGTTTAACCAAAGCTGGCCACATTAATTCTCAAGAAGCTCGAACAGCTTGTGCTGATTTGGTGTTTTCGTTGTTTATATGCCCTGCTATATGTGATCCGGAACCTTATGGAATAACTACAGATGTTCCTATTAGTCATATTGCTCGTCATAATTTAATGCAGATGGCACAGATTCTACAGTTTCTAGCTGTATCAGCCACTTCTGCTACAATAGACCACAATGTCGCAGATCTTTATAGTCGATTTGAAAAGGTAGTGATATTTTGTTATTCCTTGTTGTATATTTGAGATTTAGGTATAAAGGGACAACCTTTTTTCTTACAAATCATATTTTAGTCTCAGAGAAGGGAATCTCTTGGCTAATCAATAATAGTGTTCACAACTCATCGTCGAAATTTGAGCCATGAAATCCATGTGTGTCCAGAATTATCTGTATTTGAAAGTTGAAAAGATGAGTCATCTTTTTTGAGACACTGCCATATAGAAAATTTATCTGTAGAAATAGGAAAAGAAATTCCTAGTTTGAGATATTTTTGAAAGAATTGTGAAATTTTCATACATTTCTAGTACTTCTGAAGACTATTTACATATATAAGCTTACTCAAGACTTGAAATATGGCACAGCTGTCTCGTTAACTTTTAACTGGAATCTTAGTGCTTTGTACAGTCTCACTATCTTTTTATTCCCATCCAGGAATATTGCACAGTTCTTTTTCTTTGGTTTTTCCATGTCAGTCTCTCACTGACAGTGGAGAAACTGGGTTCTTCAAATCATCCTATCCTATAAAAAAGATACAATATTCCTACCTTATAGACTCAATTATCAGGAATTAAATTTGGTACTAAAATTTTGTGTCTGGTCATTCAAACATTTACCAGCAGTATTTTGTTTGAAGGAATCAAATTGGTTGAGAAGTAAACTCTCTACCAATCAAAATTGATGATGAGAATATGAGATTGTGAAAGCAACTGTAGGATATTGATAATATACTACCATTTCTAAAGGAACATGATTGAACCTGTACTCTGTCAGCTTGCATTCATAAAACTTACTTATTTCCTATAACCTCTGTAGCTAAATGATTACATGGCTTGTTTGAAATTTCCTTTTTTTCATAATAATCTCTATTATAGGAATGTATGTCTAGTTTTATTGATGATCTAATACAATTTGAAAATAATGAAGATGTTGAGTGCAATGAAAGTTCTGATATTGTGGAACATACAGGTGTAATAATCTCACCTTCACACCTTGAAGAGTTGGTAAGATTTTTCTCTATTTTAACACATCTCTTCTAGAGCTATATATTGATAACTGCTAATTTAGAAATTGACTCCTATTGATCACCTTCTTAAATTATTAAAATTCATTATGCCCTGTGATTCAAGCATAATATGGTACCATTGTACAAAACAGATTTAAGTTAAAGATAAACTACCTCTAAAGATGAGCAAAAAATTGAAAATTTTAAACTTGACCAAAATGATTCATAAGTGAACTTACCTGGTGTCAAAACTATACAACAGAATCTCTCTATAATCCAATAAATCATTAAAACTAAGTAATTATTCATCAAACTAATTATTTAGTTTAATAGATATATGGTCTTATATAGAGATTCTATTCTTTAGTCATGGTACCTGGTAAATCCAACTGATGAATATATACACTTGTTGACCAAGTTTGAGAACTTTAATTTTATGACCTTTAACCTATAATATTTCTTTCTATTTTTTAGGTGTCGTTTCTCAGAGTTTCTGTAGAGAATCTAGATAAATCAACTACAGGATATGAATGTCTAGAGCAGTTATTATCTGACCTTCCTAAAGATGTACATTCATTATCGGGAAATTTAGATGTTAAAACAATAACACCAAATCTTACACCTAATCAATCACCTCCAGCAACACCTATTTTACAAAGACATCATTCTAAAGGTATGCCCATGTTTAAAATGAGATAGGTGTCATGGTGGTCCAGTGAGGAAGACTCTTGCTTACTAACCTGAAAGTCCAGGGTTCTATACTGGCATTGGTCGAGACAATGCCTTCAGTTTTTTCAACTGGGTTCCCCTTTGTCAGTGTCAGTTTGGATGGGCTCACATATAAAAAGTGTATTGTCATTTGGATAGGACAATAAACCAAGGTCCTGTGTCTAATGCATGTTATCCCGGCATAGGTCGAGATGTTACCATTGGATTTTTCAACCCGGTTTCCCCCTGTCAGTGATGCAGGTGAGAGGGGCTGGCATGGAAAATGCGTCTAGTCGTTCGGATGGGACAAAAAAACGAGATCCTGTGCGCTACAGGCTGTGCATGTTAAAGATCCCTCGACAGTTGAAATTCGAAAAAGAGCAGGCTAATGCGGTTGTCCTGTCAGAATTTCTCTCATCGCACCCTGCATGGCGTTGCCCGTCTTCATTAGCTCACATGGTGCAGAAAAGTAGGATGTAAAACTCCATTCATTTAATTTTCATTTTACTTATACCTGTTGAAGATCCCTCGAAATCCTTGGAAATTAAAAAATTGTGGGCTAATGTTACTGTCCCAGCAAAATTTACCTTATTGCACACTGCATTGCGTTCCCCTCTTCATTAGCTCCATTAAGTGCAAAAAAACTCCATTCATTTCATTTTGGTTTTGGTTTTCTTTCAGGATTGAAGAAAGGCAACTCAAGTCATAGTTTAAACAGTTTAAGCGATTCCGATTCAGCCAAAGACCAGAATGGTAAAATCTGTGAGAACCCTCTAGTGATTCCAATCAAGAGCTTAACAGAATGTCCTGGAATGATTTCAGAAGACAAGGTAAATAATCAGCATTTAGGTGGTTCTTTCAAGATGCAACATTGTTCTGGAGCCGCAGTGGCTCAGTGAGTTAGATGCTTGCTCACTAATCTGAAGGTCCAGGGTTAAATGCTGGCATAGTTAACCTACAGATTTTTCTACCCGGTTTCCCCCTGTCAGGGATGCAGGTAAGAGGGGCTGATATGGAAAAAGCGTCTAATCATTCGGATGGATCAATAAACCGAGGCCCCGTGTGCTACAGGCTGTGCACGTTAAAGATCCATCGACAGTTGAAAATCGATAAAAAGAGCAGGCTATTGTTGCTGTCCTGGCAAAATTTCCCTCATTGCACGCTTGCGGCGTTGCCCGTCTTCATTAGCCCTCTTGGTGCAAAAAGGAAAAGTTTGAAAGATCTTGACAGTACCGGTATGTACTTAATTTTGGTATCTTGTACCGCCAGGATTCTAGCAAGATACAATTTTTACCATGGCAACACATCACACGAAAAAGAAAATTTGGTATATGAATGAGAACCATCATCATCTATTTTTACTTGTAGTTTTTGGCAGAAATGAAAGAAAAGACAATGAAGATGTGTAATGAAATTCCGTCAGTAGTTTCAGACGTCATTCCAAATAGTTCAATGGTAGCACTGCCAACAGTAGAAATTCAGGAGAAGAGAACAAGGTTTTCATTATCTAGCTACCAGGAGTCAATTGGTATGTATCACTTAATATACTAATTATCATTGCTAACAATTTATAATTTCGATTTAATCGACACAATTTGATTGGCTACCAGCAGTCATATACATTCGGTTTATATCCGTGTAAACGGAATGTAAATATAAGCTCCGCCCCTTAACAGACTACTTTTATCATTGAGTTTGATTGATGTGGCCATCACAGCGTGGTTGTTGATACACTTTTGTATAAACCGCTCTAGAGATTTTTACAGTGTACACAGGTTTTTTCTGTTTATACATTGATAAACTGAAAAAATGTTCAGGTCATTCCTTAATTAAAGAAAAAAGTTACATTTGAACTGATCAAATTTACTTCTACAGGTAATACCAGTGATTATCAAGAGGTTGCCTCAGAAGCTGCATCTAGTCATTCAGTTGATAATGAAGATGATGAAGATCTTATAGAAGAAAATGTTCGTGATAATCTATCTGATATGGTATCAGCCAATGTTAGTGGTAGAGGTTCTCCCACAATTAGTGGTCGTGATACACCTATATCCCAACTTGGAAGCATTGAAGACAGAAATATATCAGATCTATCTGTTCGTGTACCAGTTACTATCCGTAAACAGAACAGAGAGGACGTAACAGAAAGATTTGGCAAATTCGAAATTAAAACAGAATATGAAAGTAGGTGTATTTGTCAGATTATCACAGATGGAATTGTTATTTTGTTAGTTATTCTCTGAGGCAAATAACACATGACAAATAACAATTTTTTATTCTTGAAAATAATCCATTTTTGATATTTATTCAGATTAGAATATGATTTATGTTATTGTGGAATTGTTATTTTGTTTCGGATGAGATAGTATGATTTATGTTATTGTGGAATTGTTATTTTGTAGGGGATGACAATTGTTATTCTATAAGAGATTAAAATAGTCTATTATTACTGATGGAATTGTTATTTTGCATTAGATGAGAGAGTATAATTTATGTTATTGTGGAATTGTTATTTTGTAGGGGATGACAATTGTTATTCTATAAGAGATGAAAATAGTCTATTATTACTGATGGAATTGTTATTTTGCATTAGATGAGAGAGTATAATTTATGTTAATGTGGAATTGTTATTTTGTAGGAGATGAAGCTAAGTCTACAGTGAGTGATACATGGAGTACTGATGTCTTAGCTAGTGATTCAGAACCACCAGAACAAAACCAACTAGAACGTCTTGTAGAAGTAGTAGAAGACATGACTATTCAAAACTTTCCACCTAATTTGAATGAATCTGACTCAACTTTTGTGAGTAATTTTATTTTCGAGCAAATGTACTGCATGAACTTTACTGTATAAGTCATGCTGTAAGGCCCTTTCTTTTTTAAGTTGACTATTTGTAGTCTGCATTATCCAGATGCTAAAAAATGTCTATATGGAATATAATTTGGCTTTTTGAGATCTTTGTTGAAAATAAAGTGAGGTGGAAACTATTTTTCTTGGACAAATGCCCCCCTTGAACCCCTACTCCCAACTGATTTGGTATTGATAAAGGCTGTGGCTATTTGTACCACGCCAGTACAAAAATGGGCATTAAAAAACAATTGACCAACCCTACCTAAGTCACTTAATATCATTCTTGATGATGGTACAAATAGCCAGTGAGATAAATCAAATTCTGTCTGTTCCAGCCAATATCTGAAGTATCAGAGACAGCTAGTGATGCCTGGAGTACTGATGTATTAGCCAGTGATAATGAAGAGAAACAGTTGGAAAATCTAGACATAAGTCTGGTAAGGAATATTCCTGATAGTCTTTGGTTTTGGATATCAATCCTGCAAGTCTTTGGTGACATCAACTAACTAAGGTCTAATTTTGGAAAGTTACAAAACCAGCTGTCCTGATGAGTTTTGTGAATCCACTACGTGTGTCATAACATGAGATGAGCTCTTAGTAGGAATTTAAACTGACTTCTATTTCATTGGCTGCCCTTGTTCACTTTTTTAGTGTAAATCCACCAGTTGATAATCATATAACCCAATTGAATTGTGGGTAAGGCAGCATTTGAATATATTATTTGTTTAAATTTAGGATCATGTGCCAAAAGTTCCAACCAATCTGCTGTCTTCAGATTTTCATTTGAAAGATAACTTAGAACCAATAACCATGGCAACAGGTAGTACTTTTTTTTAGAGTTATCTCTCTTGGGAGAGCAGCTTAGCTTAGAAGACCTGAAGTTAGATGATAGTTAAAATTACTTGGAGTGGGGTCTGCCTTTGAGTTGCCATCTTCATCTCCAAAACTAGTCCTGATGAAGTCGTCCAATGTAAATTTGACCAAACGTCAGTTCAGTTTTTTTATTAGCTTTTATTTTTAATATAGCCACTTCAGTTAGGGTCTAACGACACCCCCCTTGAACTAATGTCAAGAGGTTTAATTTGATTTAACTTGATTTAACTTGATGACATCTGCTTTAACCAATCAAATTTCTACTCTCTCCAGCACTGGTATTTTGTGAAGCTGTGTTTATCAAAAGGATTGTTTGATGACCGTTCAAGAGAGCTGTCGTTAGACCCTAACTGAAGTGGCTATATTAAAAATAAAAGCTAATAAAAGACAAAAACAGAATGAAAGTCTGATCTACTTTTAATTAGACTGGCAAATAAACTGTATATTATTATGATTAAAGGGACATTCCGCTTTTTTGTAGGTCGAAATTTTTTTGGCTCAAATTTGTTAAAACTGTACCCCAAAATCAAAATCTAGAGTAATGTGCCCTTTAACGTATCCAGTCCTTAATTTTTAAACGCCAAAATTATTTAAGAACATTACGTGAGGTTTTTAAGTTCGTAGTACTCTCTGTTTTAATTAACCCTTTTAAAATAAATTCAGTTTGATCAAGTAGATACATAGATAGAAATAGCATGCTTTAGAAATATTTTCAGGTAAAATTTACAACGTTTTTCATAATGAAAACTTTTTACAAAAAAAGCAGAATGCCCCTTTAAAGTATTATTTTATATTTGAACAGGTGTGCCAGATATGGGTGTATTAAATCCAACAGCCTTGAAACTCTCCAGACTAAAAGTTGAGAGAAAAGTCAATAGTGCTACTGTTAATAGTACCGATTTTGGATTTGATGGTACTAAGGACTGCGAAGATGTATTTTTAGATTCAGATACTGTGGTAGATAAACAAGACAATGACTTATGTGATTTGATTCAATTTACAGCAGGGAATGATACTGAACAGACCAATAGACCAGCTTGTGACTCTAGTTTTGATGAAAATAGGCTGTCGGTAGCTTTAAGTTTATTTGATCCCTTAGCAACAGATTATGGTCCATCAGATGTCTTGGAGACTTCTTCTTGCGGTAGTCAAAGTAATGTGGGTGTTCTTAAAGGCGCCGAAATGAAATGCGGTATTGATAATAAGTTGGAACTGCCTGAAAGTGATCAGCATATATTTGATGAATGTAGTTCAGTAAAACCAAAGGAAGACAATGATAAGAAAAATTCCAATCTTCTTGAACAAAAGGTAGGCCATTTTGTTTTTCAAGTTTTTTTTGTAGCTCATGTGGTTAGATCATTCGAAATTTAAGGGACAGGTGCGCCCATTTCTAGTGCTTCTGAAGGTGTGGGCACATGAGGGTTTTTTTTTATCTTCTGCAATAGAGACAGTCATCATGCAATCAAATTCATTTTCATTCAAATGCATTCTCTGCACATGATTATCGACAAGGTGGATTATGACCGACTAGAGATTTTTGTCTCCTAGTGTGCCTGACCAAGACTGCACCTTAACATATATATTCAAGACTCAAATCACCCCCTTCTACCCTCCACAAAAAAAAATGTCCATCTGTCTCTTTCAAACATCAAACAAATGGCGGCTGTGGGTACTATTCACTCATTTTATAGTACACTAATCAGAAAACAGTGAAGCAGTTATCATGCAAAATTTTACTCATTGCACACAGCACTGCCTTCTTGACTTCTATCATTTGAGGCAAGATACATGTTATCAACTTCTGTACAATTTGGTTGTAGGATTTTGATATGGAAATGAAGCTAGAGAAGAATCAGAAAAAAACAGGAATTTTTAGATCATTAAAAGATAGATTACATACAAGTAAGTTAAAAAAAAAAACAAAAACTCTCACTGTTATAACAGTGCTCAATACATAAATTGTAGAGCGATGTAGAAATATTAAAACAGAACCTAAAACATGTTGTTACTCAGAGTTTCACGCTATGCGATGGTATGTTTTGATATTTGTCTATAGCCCTGTCTATTTCCTGTGAATTCATCCATTCGTAATACAAAAAAAGCCAGTTTGTGTAGTGGTTGCATTGAGTATACTGTATTAGTCAAGTTCTACCTTTTGTGATTCAATTTGACAAATAAGGATATAGTTATTGACTGATTCTTGTATTTATTTCAGCTATAAAGAAAAGATCAACTAAAACTGAAAGTAATTTATTCAGTAAGTAGAGAAACTTCACAAAATTCAGTTCTTTGAATGTAATGGGTGTAGTGCGGTTCCCTGTCAAATGGAATGCTTTTGAATGCAATGAACTTAGAGCAGTGGGTTTAAACCTTCACATCCCTGGAGCAATCACCTGGACCTTTCACATCCCAAAATTTGTTTCATCCACATTTCCAGCATGTGGTGATGTGAGGTGCTCTCTCAATTCAAAATCAATTCTTTGCCTACACCAGTTGGCCATACCCCTGACACCCTAGTCCCACACCGCCAGGGGGTGAAAACACCCCAGAATGGGAACAAGGGGTTTAGAGATTTATGAAAATGAATTTGATTTTTCTTGAAATGCTAACATGAGATTAATTTTCACATTGTTGATGTTGAAAATAAAAAAAAGCTGAGTTATGTCCCTGTTATGGGTTTCCCTCATTTCACACTGCATGACATTAACTTCATTTTATCATGTTATTTTGTCTGTTGTAGATGATGTTGAACCAGGCAATATTGATATCAATACTGAGGGTAAAATTGAAAAAGAAAACCAAGAAGGTATGTCTACACTTTCCATTCAAAATTTCTTTAAAGGGATTGTGAAGAGGTTTTCAAAATCTTTTATATGCATCATTCCAATTTTTTTTTGGGTCTTGCAATTCTAAGGGATTTATAAGGAAGCTTTAGAAAGGATATAATGAGCAGCTTTTGCGATAGTTACATCATATATGGCATTTCATTAAAGGAACAGGTGCACCATTTTTATTACCAATTGTTATTTGGTCTCAGAAGCGGTAATTAATTTTAGCTAAGCCAATCAGTAAGAGTGTTCACAACTCACCCTCGAAATTTGAGCCTTCAAATCCATGCGTGTCCAGAATTATCCACATGTGAAAGGTATTTTTTGAGACACTGCCATATATAGAAAATACAGAAAGAAATTCCTAGTTTGAGATATTTTTGAATGAATTATGCGATTTTTGTACATTTCTAATACTTCCGAAGACTATTAACATATATTCAAAACTCAATCAACCCCTCCCCAAATGGCCCATCTGTTCCTTCAAATGCAGAAACCGCAGACAATTGAAGGAAAATTGGAATGATGCAATCAGAATCAAAAGGTAGCCCTGATAATCTGAAATAAAAAATATTCCACTTTTTAACAGCCTTTTGATAACTTGTGTCAGTAGAAAAATTAGACAAAACATAAAATTTGTTTTATCCTTCATATGGATAACAATATATACCAAGTCACTTTTGTGTTTTCTTTTTTTAGAGAGCTTAGATGAAATGCTGAACAAATACCGAGGCAAAAAGAATATAACTAATAATTGTAATGATGGCATACCTCAATATGATAAAAATGACGATACAAAATCGGCAGAAAATGCTTTCATGTCAAACGACACTCAGAATTTAGAGAGCAGCCTTACATTCAAAAACACTAAACGTAAACTATGGATGGTTTTGAGTAATAGTGATTTTCAGATATTAGGCAATCGACATAAGAGTAACTTTGATAATGATGATTTGGTGGATTTATTAAGAGCTTTGTTAGCTGAAGCTATTAATCTGCAAAATAAAGGTCATGTAGCTCAACTTCATGAGGTCATACGCTGTGTAAAATTATTTGATTCCAATGGGTAAGTTTGGTTTGTTACTTGTTTTTGTGTATGTATTTTGGTTCCGTAGATGCATTTTGCTGTAGCCATAAATGATAGCTATGTATCTATGCTTCTTTAGAGGTAATTCTTAAATTTTACCACAGATAATGGCTAGGGATAAACCACCTCATAGGTCACTGAACGCTTGATCAACAGCAAGGAAATGGGCTTTGGCCTGTGATTTCATAATTTCAATTATATAATTTCAACCACTTTCACCTGAAGTGTAGTGGGCTTAGTTAAATACGGGTTAATAAGACCATGTCAAAACCCGTATTCGAGATACGATGTGCTAAATCATACTTCATAATATAATAAGTTGATGGATTATTTTGTTTCAGTATTACGCGAATTATTCAGAGTTTAAATGAAGAACATAAGAACAGATCAACGTATATCTCTTATCTAATAAGATGTCGTCAGGGATTACAATCTAGTTTATCTCATTTACAACGTTTACTCAGTCGTACTGAAAGGTATTGTTAAATCATGTTTATATAGTTCTAATTATGATCTCAATTAAAGATGGGTTCCCTTATTTTTATTTATGAAAATGAAAATGCTAATTTATATGAAAAGAAGTAGGGGTGTTCTAATGAATTGGAAATATACCAGATTGTCTCATGTCTATAATTAATTCATAATTAGCCAGCAGAATTCCAATGAGTGACTGATCAAAAAAGGTCAAAAAGTCTTTTTCTGTTTATCCAGACTGTACATACATGGACATTTATGATTGGTTAAAACTCTTAATTATATGCATTAAGAACATAATGATATGATTAAGAATACATGATAATTCATTAGAAACACCAATTAATCAAATAGTTTGCTTAATTTGACAATAAAAAGTAAGGAAACCCATCTTTAAGATTAAAAAATAAATAAAAATTACCAATTTTTCACACCAAAGTTTCGCATTGGCTTATCAAGTAAAATTTTGATTTGCATTTTCTGGTAGCAATTGAAAATATTCCAGTAGTAAACGTTCAAATATACAATTTTATTTGATTCGCAGATTTAAGCTATTCATCCTTTTTCCTCACATCCACATTCGTACATAACTTTTATTGAATTGTAAAGATGGAAAACCATACCACATGATGGTATTATGAGACTTTGTGTGGCACAGAGTAATGTCTTGAAGCAGTCAGGGTAGGGTTTGAGCCATTGTTTAACTGTTCATGTAATTCTGAGTAATGTATGTATTTTCAGAGATAGAGAGATTGGAACAAGGCATCTTATTAACTCCTGTACTAGACTGTTTTTAGAAAAGTATGAGACTCAAATTATGAAGTTTCATACTGAATTTCAACGTCTAACTCTAGCAGATGAGAAGGTAGATACCATTATTTGATAGTCTTGGGTTTACAGCGTTCAGTTGTTTGCATTTGTCATGAAAAAGTGGTTGTAAAGTGTTTTGCTAACCAAACTTTCATTTTTTTTTATATAGCCACTTCAATTAGGGTCTAATGACAGCCCTCTTGAATGTTCATCAAATTAACCTTTTGACCTAACCTGATTAACATCACGTCACAAATTGCCAACGATGGAGAGAATTTGATTGGTTAAATCAGACGTCTTTAAGTTTGGTCAAAAGGTTAAGAGGGCTGTTGTTAGACCCTAACTGAAGTGGCTATATTATGCTAAAATTGTTGCAATACTGTGGGCTTGTGTTATCAAATGTTGATTTTGATTAAGTTATCACTTAATTTTTTTATTGTAATTCTTCATTTGTACTTAAAAGCAAGTGATTTTTTTTAAAATTGTATTTCAGACTGATTTAGTAAATAGTTTTTTAGAGTTTATATATAGAGAAATGGAACAAGAACCAATATGGGCAGGTAAAAACATTCAATAATTTGAGGACAGATTGTAGCTCTGTGAGTTAAAGTGTTAGAATCTTGACATCATTTTCTTGGCTATGTGACACAAATGGTAGTTGTGGGTTCTAATATAGGACAAAAATCTTGCGAACCTGTATCTTTCCTTGATATTCCAGTTAACTCAGCTGAAAACGGGTATGGATTATCCAGCTTTCTTGGGTTTTCCATGAATCAACTCAGCTGTAAATGGTTTAGGAAGCTGGTAGACAGGATCACTTAGTACTGAAGTTATTAATTTTGTAAAATATTGTTATTTGTACAAAAAAGTAATCTTTCGTAGATTTGAATTATTTTAAGGAATGAAGGAGTCAATGTTTGTGTTTATTTTTTTAGCTGCAACAGAATGTCAACTAGAAGATGCTTGTTTAGCTATTGAAAGAAGTGTAATGAGTCGTATCTATACACAGGCTCTCTTCCCTAATGGTGATGGAGACATTTCTAGAGATCAGTAAGTAGGCAATATTTATAGTATTAGCTAAATCTTGTTATTTTTATACACCCACATTATAATGTGGCTAATATTGCTGTCGCCCATGTTGATCTGTCCACAACAGTTTTATTTAATTTTGATTAAATTTGATGAGATCATGGTCATGTCCAAATTTGACAAAAGCACATCAAAATTTGTTTGTGAATACAATAGAGACATTCTAATTGGCTGTACTTGTTGGTATACAATCCAATAAAATCGCTGCATTCGGTGATACAAGAAGAGTGGCTATTGCAGTCAAGGTATAAAGCTGAAGTTCGTAATAGCTTGACATTGTGAAGATAGTTTAGTGATTGATCACATTCCAGTAAGAACTGATTATTGATGCTTATAAAAATACAGAATGAAAGTTTAGTCGAATTGTAATTAGACAGTAACTTATTTGATCTTATATTCCAGGGTATATCATCAGCATATTAGAAAACTGAGTGAAAATATTAAACCAAGTCATCCAGATTTATGTATTCCAAGTAAATATCATTTTGAATGCCCATGGCCAGCTGCCCAACGTGAAATATTTCTGATCAATGCCTACAAGGTAAGAAAATCACATCACATCACATCACATCAATTTATGTGATTCAAGTATCTGAGCATATCTGAAAGTATCTGAGCAAATCTGAAAATATCTGAGCAAATCTGAAAATATCTGAGCAAATCTGAAAATATCTGATCATGTCTGAAAGTATCTGGCCATATCTTAAATTATCTGAGCATATCTGTAAGTATGTATCTAAGCATATCATCTGAAAGCATCTGACCATATCTGAAAATATCTGAGTTCATGTATCTGATCATATTATCTGAAAGTATCTGACCATATTATCTGAAAGCATCTGACCATATCTGAAAATATCAGCGCATATCTGAAAGTATATCTGAAAGTATATCTAAAATATTTGAGCATATCTGAAGAAATTCTCAGAGCACATGTATCTGAGAATATTTGAAAGTATCTGAGCATATCTGAAATATCTAAGAAATATCTGAAAGTATCTGAGCACATCTGAAAGTATCGGAGCATATCTTAAAATATGTAAGAAATATCTGAAATTATTTGAGCATATCTGAAATACAGACAATAATTAACAAATAAATGCGTTTCCAATTTTTATCATAAAATCTTGAAATGAGATGATCTTGTTTATGCTTTGAATCATCAACAGAATATGTGCACGAATATTTTTTTTTTTTTTTTTTTTTATTTAAAGCACCAAAAAGTCATACTGTCTTTGCATTTTCAGACACCAAAAGATAAATTAGGCTGTATATTACGTTGTTCTACTACCATAATGAATCTGTTAAGTATGTCCAATGAGAAGTCGGTACCTGCAGCTGATGATTTTATGCCTGTTTTAATCTATGTGATAATCCGTGCTAATCCACCTTGTCTACTCTCAACTCTACAGTATATACAGAGTTTTTACGATGATCGGCTAGCCGGGGAGGAAAGTTATTGGTGGTCTCAGTTTTCTTCAGCAATAGAATTTATTAAAACTATGGAGTATTGTGATTAATATATATAATATAGTTATTAACTTAAATTGTAAAGGATCTATATAGTGTATTGAAAGGCAGAACATTTTTAAGTGTATATTCAGATTTGTAACCAATATTTGTTGAGAACATATGAATTATTCTTCAAAATATTTGTTATAAAAATGTAAAAAGTATATATTTATTAAGTTTATTTGTTAAGGAACTTTAGAAGTGAACATATGAAATATTCTCAAAAATGGCCTGAACATTTAACAATATTTATTGAGAACATATGAAATATTCTCAAAAATGGCCTGAACATTTAACAATATTTATTGAGAACATATGAAATATTCTCAAAAATGGCTTGAACATTTACCAATATTTATTGAGAACATATGAAACAGCAGTATAAATTAATGTAAAAATATATGTATTTATTAAGTTTATTTATTAAGGAACTTTAAAAGTGAAGATATGAAATATTCTCACAATGGCCTGAACATTTACCAATATTTATTGAGAACATACGAAATATTCTCAGAAATGGCCTGAACATTTACCAATATTTATTGAGAACATATGAAATATTCTCATAATGGCCTGAACATTTAACAATATTTATTGAGAACATATGAAATATTCTCAGAAATGGCCTGAACATTTAACAATATTTATTGAGAACATATGAAATATTCTCAGAAATGGCCTGAACATTTACCAATATTTATTGAGAACATATGAAATATTCTCAGAAATGGCCTGAACATTTTCCAATATTTATTGAGAACATATGAGATATTCTCAGAAATGGCCTGAACATTTACCAATATTTATTGAGAACATATGAAATATTCTCAGAAATTGCCTGAACATTTAACAATATTTGTTGTGAACATATGAGATATTCTCAGAAATGGCCTGAACATTTACCAATATTTATTGAGAACATATGAGATATTCTCAGAAATGGCCTGAACATTTACCAATATTTATTGAGAACATATGAAATATTCTCAGAAATGACCTGAACATTTACCAATATTTATTGAGAACATATGAAATATTCTCAGAAATGGCCTGAACATTTAACAATATTTGTTGTGAACATATGACATATTCTCAGAAATGGCCTGAACATTTACCAATATTTATTGAGAACATATGAGATATTCTCAGAAATGGCCTGAACATTTACCAATATTTATTGAGAACATATGAGATATTCTCAGAAATGGCCTGAACATTTACCAATATTTATTGAGAACGTATGAAATATTCTCATAATGGCTTGAACATTTACCAATATTTGTTGAGAACATATGAAATATTCTCAGAAATGGCCTGAACATTTACCAATATTTGTTGAGAACATATGAGATATTCTCAGAAATGGCCTGAACATTTACCAATATTTATTGAGAATGTATGAAATATTCTCATAATGGCTTGAACATTTACCAATATTTGTTGAGAACATATGAAATAGCAGTATAAATTAATGTAAAAAAATAAATTTATTAACATATGAAATGTTCTCAGAAATGGCCTGAACATTTAACAATATTTATTGAGCACATATGAAACAATAGTATGAATTTTTGTAAATAATAAATATTAATTAACCTTACTTGTGAAGTAACTGTGGTATATTGAGGTCTGTTACTTTAAATATTTTTACAACTGATTATCTTATTTGTTCTGAACATATGAAATATTTTCAAAAATGACCTGAACATTCACCAATATTTTTTTTAGAACATATGAAATATTATAAAAACAGAAATTAATTATGAAATTCACCTGTTTTGGAATGGTGAATTGCAGGATGTTATTGTTAACATTTTATGCAGATTTATTGCCAATATTTGGGAACATTTGAAATAGTCGTTGAGAGCATATGAAACAGTATGAAATATTGTGATTGCAAAATATTTATTAACTTCATTTTAATTGTGTACTGCAGGGCTGCTAATGTAAATATTTTTGCAGCAGAACATTTTAAAGTGTATATTCAGATTCATTACTAATATTCATAGAGAACATATGAAATATTCTCGAATATGGCCTGAACATATACAAATATATATGTAGAGAACATACGAAATACATGTATTGTAAATAATAGATATTTATTAACTTTACTTACAAAGGAACTAAGTATACTGCAGGGATGTTACTGTTTTCACAGATGAACATTTGCAAGTGTATATTCAGATTTCGTTGTGAACATGGCCTGAACATTTCAAATTTGTTATTAATATCTGACATGAAATAAATGCTTGTGAAAAATGCTCATGATACATTTAAAATAACTAATATGAATCTACACATTATACATTTTAATCTCCAATTTCATATTTATTTTGTTATTTATATGTATTTTGTTCATGTGAAAAAATTCTCTAAAATGGTCTAAAGTTCAGATGGAAATTCAGGCTACTTTTAAAAGAATTCTTTAAAATGGCCAAAAGTTCAATGGAAAATTCAGGTTACTCTAAAAAAATTCTTTAAAATGGCCAAAAGTTCAATGGAAAATTCAGGTTACTTTAAAACAATTCTCTAACATGGCCAAAAGTTCAATGGGAAATTCAGGTTACTTTAAAACAATTCTCTAAAATGGCCACAAGTTCAATGGAAAATTCAGGTTACTTTAAAACAATTCTCTAAAATGGCCAAAAGTTCTATGGAAATTCAGGTAACTTTCAAAAAAATTCTCTAAAATGGCCATCAGTTCAATGGAAAAATTCAGGTTACTTTAAAAAAATTCTCTAAAATGGCTGATGGAAATTTCAGGTTACTTTTATAAAAATTCTAAAAATGGCATGTACATTTCTGATTTTATTACCAATTTTTATTGTGAACATATGAAACGAACAATAATTGTTGTGAACATATGATAAAACCAATATTTGTTATTAACACATGAAGCAACCATTATTTGTTGTGAACATGAAACAATCAGTATTTCTGGTGAACATAATTCTAAAGTAATCCATTTTGTTGTTAATACATGATCAATTAATATTTGTTGTGAACATGTGAATCAATCAATATTTATTGTAAACATATGAAACCATCATATTTTTTTTGAATATGTGAATCAATCAATATTTATTGTGAACATATGAAACCATTAATGTTTGATGTGAACATGTAAAACCATCAATATTTTGTGTGAATATATGAAACCATCAATTTTCAGTGTTCATGTGAAACAATTAATATTTATGTGAACATGTGAAACCATCAATTTTTGCTGTGATCATATGACAATTAATATTTATTGTGAACATTTAAAACAACCAATATTTGTTATGAACATATGAAACCATCAATATTTTATGTGAACATGTGAAACCATTAATATTTGATGTGACCATTTAAAACCATCAATATTTGATGTGAACATGTGAAACCATCAATATTTGTTGTGAACATGTGAAACCATCAATATTTGTTGTGAACATGTTAAACAATCACAAAAATGGGCTGCAATTATGTCCTTTTGACCAAAGTTGCAACCATGTATTTTGGACTCTGGCAGGCACAGTCAAATCAAAGGCCATGGTAAACAATCATGATAGTTATTTATGAAAATATGATATTGTTATTATAAAAATGAACTTGAAGCTGATTGTTGGGAACATCATAACCCGAAATTCCCTAAAATTTGATTTTAAAATTTTTGGTTCAGATAATCTTGGGTTAAGATGTTTTTACCAATTGGCTAAAGATTAAATTTTATCTTAAGATTAAGAAATGAGTTTATTTATTCCTTCGAAAAGACCTCTTTTATTTCAATGACTATGGAAAGACCCCATATATAATCAAAGGCTTAAGAGTATGGGATAAGGAAAGACCAGATAAAAGACCCTTCAACTAATAAAAGATTCGGCTTGCCAAAGTCTCCACTATTATTATAATGGCTATGAAAAACCTCATTTATTCATCTAAGCCAAAGAGAGACCAGGTGTTTTTAAGATGAAAGACCCTATACCTTTACTAAAGACCCCAGGTCCCATGTTAGAATCACCACTAGTTAGAAATCAAGATTAAAGACCCAATATCACCCCAGTTTAGATTCAATGTTATGTTATGGGAGTCATGGCTTTAGAAAGACCCTACTTTTATACTGAATGCTATAAAAAGACCCTGTTTTTAATCAAGACCCCATATCCGTATCATGGCATTAAAAGGACCCCACTATTATCTTAATTACTATAGAAAGACCTCATATTATATAAGTCTTGGCTTAGAAAAGACCCATTGTAAGTTATTTAAAGGTATATTTATTACACATATTGAAAATACATCAACAATAAATCAGCTAGTTGAATGCCACAATAATATTTTCTGGAAAAGGATGCTGAAGTGACATAAAGTTCCTTTACAAATCATGAATCATGAGCTAACAAAGATAAGACCTTCCTCACTTCCAGGAATTCAGTCTTTCTTCCATGCAGACAGTGTATTGTGACATAACATAAACTTCTTAGGCATAATGTCAGAGTTTAATTCTGCAAAGTAATATGGATACTAGAGTTCTATCATCTTGTAAAGCTAAAAAAAAATTCAACGTTTATGTTGCTCTAAATGCTTAGGCTATAGGTTAGCACATGACACAAGTGTACAAAACCTTTTTCACAATGAGAAATACCTTTTTAAAGTTGTATATATATATATATCAAAAAGTTAACAAAAAACAAAATTTAAATAAGATATCAACATTTGGTACAGAACATTAAAAGTTATATGCATGTTATTGTTTTGAATAAATGAAGTCTCAAATATTTAATAGACTTATGCCATGGACAATTATTATCCTTTGTTTTTGTTTCTATATGACAATAGTAGGGACACAGGTTGAAATAGTCCAAAACATTAATCTGCATCTTCACAATGTCAAGCTATTATGAACTTTGTACTTGCAAAAGCCACCTTTCTTTATCACCAAATGCAGCGATTGGATTGGATTGTACTCCAGCACATATTTAGCCAATCAGAGCCATTGTAGTGTACAAATTGCTACATTTAGCAGATTCAATAATATAAGAATGATGATTATTATAGTCAAGGTATAAGTATAAAGTTCGTAATAGCTTTTTATTGATTAATCTGAAAGCTGCACAGCTTAAATGAAACTTTAAATAGCAACAACCAAGCTGTATCTCAATAATATATTTGCTGGAAGGAGCAAATATGTAAACTCACTTTAATTTTAAAATCAAAGCAGGAAACAGTAAATTTAAATGGCGGAATCAAAATCTCAGGTAAGATTTTGGTTTGTGGTCCTCAAAGGGCCTCTATCAAAAGATCTAAACTTCCATTATCAGATATTTGTAACCAGTACCCTCTTTCCGGAGCAAAGACTTGGATCAGCACCAACCCAACCAGAAGATCCAGCACGGCGGTCAGAATCTGGTCCTTGCATCAAACTTGGATCATGTCCATTGGCAGCTACATGTTCACTTCTGAAATAAATATATACCAAATAAACATTTTTAACTAGGTGAACACTCTGAAAGGATTGTCCAGTAGAATCAGGCACCAGTTTCTACAAAAAATGAATAAAGAGAGAGGAGAGCTTGTATCAAAATTAGCTGACAAAGACATGGAATTTCATACCTAAACCATCTCGGCAACCAAATTCAAATTTATTTTTTATTTTTTAGGCCATGTACCCTTAGTATTTATCTTTTTAAAAATTAACAAAACTTAAAATATTCAAGCTAAGTATTTTGGTTTTGCAATGCTTTCCATATCTCATTTGGCTAACATTTTTTTTTTTAACTAATTAAAGACATATATTCAACATATCCATGACATTTCCATGCCTCACAGATTGACAGAATATTTTTCATAGCTCATGAAAGTTCAAGATTTTGTTTAGAAATTAAACCTAAATGCACATCTTTAAAAGCTGAAATATGGAGTTGTAGCACTTTCTGAAAGTGGGATCTTTGTTTTTTTGTTAGATATAACATATAGGAATAGATTCCAGGTGAGAAAAAGTAATCTCCAGGTTGTGCTAAAGAAAGTCATTTTTAAGCACATTTGAGAGCCACAGACCATGGCCTATTATAATTGTCTTAAATCGACGATCCTTTCTACCAGGTGGCCTTTGATCAAATCTCTTTAATTTTCTCCATTAACTGCTAGTGTATTGAAGAAAGATGACCAAGATAGTCACCACAAGCTCATAATAACATTTAATCCACATTGATAATAGTTGATATCAAATATATATATATTTTCCTGAGTTAAAACAATTGAACTTTAAATGTCAAAAATACTATAACCACAATTTTCCAAGAAAGGGCATGTAAATCAAATAAAAACTTACAATCGAAGTGTAGGGTCAGGGCCACTCTGTAAAGATCTGTTTCGTCCAACAGCTATAGATTGGTGAGTTGGTGAAAATGATGTATCTTTAATACTGCTGGTATATACCGTCTTACTGGGGCTGGAAACATCAAAAGACAACACATTAATAGAATGATTTGGAAGTTTCCTGCCTGCTTAGCTGTAGCTGAATGAGCTAAAAAAAAAAGGGTCATATAAGCTATATCCTTTTCCCTAATTCATTTCTTATAACTTCCATATTGTCCATGCTCTACCATATATCCAAAATTATTGTGCTTTTGAAAGTTATGTGATTTTGGCAAATAAAAAGTCCATGCCTTCTTCTGTTGTTCTGTTCTGTTCTTCTTTCTTCACGAGAAGTGCCTGTTACCCTTTGATTTGAACTGGTGTCTGTTATCCCTTGATTTGTACTTCTGTCTGTTATCCCTTGATTTGTTACCAGATGATCTGAACTGATGTTTGTTATCCCTTGATTTGTACTTGTGTCTGTTACTCTCTGATTTGTACTTGTGTCTGTTACTCTTTGATTTGTACTTGTGTCTGAAACTCTTTGATTTGTACTTGTGTCTGTTACCAGATGAGCAGAATTATTTTCAACATGACCACTTGGTGGGGCAACTCTTGCATCTGTTTATGGATAAATGGATAAAATTAGGGAACAGAGGGAAGATCCTAAATGATCCAATGGATTTAAGTTTACAATTTACCAGACATTACATAACATTTAAACAGATTTTCATTTTAATGAAAACCAACACAACAGTTTTCCATTTTCCAGTACCTTCAACTATCAGGGATCAATTACAAAATGGTGTACCATCAATACTGACTACAAACCCCTGGTGAATAGGGACAATTTTGATTATTATTCTTATATTTATGAATACGTTATTTTTCTCACTTGTGTTACCACGCCCAGAGGAAGTATGACGAAATGGAGTGTGGTTTGGACACGATGTATACGGTATTAACTTACAAGAGTTACTTGTTCTTTCAGAGTTGGAAGTACTAGCACTGCTACCATGATCTCTACTAGTATCAAATTCATTTGACTGAGTGGATTTTCTAGATGGAGTCTTGTGTTGTTTAGTTTGACTAGTTTTTCCTTTTACAGCTGAGTGAGTTGGTGAAATGCTTTGACCAGTTCTACTTTCTTTAAATCCCAGCATCTTTAACTGATGTACTGCACTTTGCATATTGTTTTCACAACTGAAACAAATCAAATTATATTAACTACGGTAATTAAGACAGTTGGCCATTCCAGTTGGTCACCTATCATATCGAAGTAATTTTAGCTTGTTTACATGTATCATGGCCATTCATTTGCATCATTCCAATTTTTTGGGCAAATGCTTAGCTGTGTCATAATGAAAACTATTTACCTGCGCATTACAGATTGAAGGATTTCATCTGGACAATCAGGGAACATTTGAATTATCTTACTCAAATCTGGCGCATTCTGGTTTCTCTGTAAGAAAGAAAACAAATTATATTCAAATCATTCATTAGGTCTTCAACTTATATAATGAGGACAGGATGTAGCACAGTCAGTTAAAGCATTGAAATCTTTACATGAAGTCATTTGCTTGGTTAAGTTAAACCAATAAAAGTGCAAGTCTGGGGCCCTTTAATAAGCCATTAGATGACCTATCTGTAGACTGTTATTGGTAACGGTTTAGAAAAAGTTTGGCCATGAACCAGTTTGTAGAAAGGATCCTCGCAAAAGTAAGTTGTTCATCAAAAATGTTGTAGGCGTAAAAAAAAATTGGTTGTTTCTGATTGTGCACGGTTTTATAGTACTGGTACCAAGTATTTACCGGTGTGAATGCTTTCTGGGGAGTTCTGGGACGAGCTTGAGCAGCCATTGTTGTTCTGGGATCCACCCATGTTGTTGTTTTATCATTATGATTTATATAGAAACTGAAAATAAATAAAGTAAATACACAATAAATAAACTTTACAAGGGAGTTGCCCCTGAAGAAATCAACCTGAATGAAACGTTCAAGCCGTACACACTCTGCAGATCACGGGATGTCCTAATAAAAGGAAAGCTCTTCTTCCTTTGTTCAACCATTAAAAGGGATCATCCAGTTGTAGGCCTAAGCCTATTTAATTCTTCCTCCTGTTGTAAGGCTCAAAATAAAAAAGTAACCTTCGATTTTACGAATTTAACTTCCAAACCAATGGCTACCGTAGTATGGGATATGACCAACTCTTTATAGATTGACAACGGTCAAAAATATGTATCAGAAGCTGATGAGAGTCAACTATATTTTGGACGACAATATACTGTCAGAAAGAAAACAGCCAGAGCAGAAAGAAACCAGTCGGAACGTATCGAACTATCAGCATCAAGCAATCCCATACATAATATTATAATTCATACTTACTATGCTTTTTGGCCTGAATCCCATTTAGCTTCATATCCAGGAGGGAGAGGACCCTTTTTGTCCATTGCACCTTGGATTTATTAACAGATTCAAGTGGAAATCTTGCAAGTTTATTGCGAAACAAACATTACAACATAAACAGACAAATTCGTCTTTTCACAGCCGAAGACTACTAAAGTAGCGTACATAAATAAAATATCAGATGCACCTTTTCACAGCCGAACACCATTCAAGACTGCCAAACAAAAATGAATATTTCTTTGGCTCTACAAATTTCAACTGAGCAACATTTTATTTATTTCTAGTACCATTTTATTCCATAATTCTTGCATTTTTGCAAAATTTTTATATTTTTGCATAGAACTGCTAGTCTACAGTTCTGTGATTTTAGTAAACACCGAATAGTTAAAGGGATTGTATCGAGGTTTTCAAGAATTTATATGTGTATCGACAACACTGATAGCATCAATTTGCAGCATTCGGATATTTTCAGTAAGACGTCTGTTAGTTTTAGAGAAATTGCAGGAACACAGACGTTTGACTTTGGAAATGAAATTGGAATGAATCAAATTGATGCTAACAGTTTCCCCAATAAGCATAAAAAATTTAGAAAACCTCTTTACAATCCCTTTAAGGTAGGACATCTTAGTCCGAAATATCAGTCTTTGCTTTATTGAAAGTGTGTATTCGATTAAAGCTCCTTGGTTGTATCCCGTACCTATTTTTAGGTATGGATAACCTCGTTTCTATTTGATAATAGTGAATACCCCATTGATTGGATTGCCTTCCTTTTCTCTCCACTGATTGGCTTAAGATAATAGCGTCCATAGTCGATGTAAACAAATGTTGTTGTCAAGTCGCCATTAAATATTCAGAAAGGACATTTTATTGTTATTTTCATCTGTGTCTGTTTACGTCGGGGAATATTAGGCTAATATTGCCCTAGAATTACTCATCGGCACGGCTGTTACACCAAAATGCCGAGTGAAAATATAGCAGTAAAAAGTATAGTCAGATGTCGGCCATTGCTAGCAGACGAAACTAGCCATGGATGTAAAAATATAGTTAAAATAGCTGGGAACAAGGTAGTGGTTGACGCTAATGGAAAGGAAAATAGTTACGGATTAGATGGGATATATGTTTCGGATGTCAATAATTCGGTGATCTATAAAGAAAATTGTGATAGCCTTCTACACAGGGCTTTAGAAGGATATAATGTCGGGTTACTGGCATTTGGAGCTACTAATGCAGGGAAGACATACCTGATGGTCGGCAATAACCAAGATGAAGGCATTATTCCACAGTTATGTAACAACTTATATACCCAAATAAATCAAAGATCTAATAAAGAATTCTTCATCACCGTTTCATATCTAGAGGTAGGCTTACTGTTATAAATCATTTTTTATTATACTCCCAATAAAATGAGGCAGACGTCGTGGCACTTTTATTTTGTTGATATACGACATTTTACCGATTACTTTTATATGTGAACTGTAATATATCAATTTCAAATATTAATGATCAAATACTCTCCTGTAAGAGTCGAAGGAGAGCTACATGTTTGTTTTATGATTATAAGATTTATAAGTTATAACCTAATACGTTATTATATTATATATGTTTATATAAGTCTATGTTATGCATATAAACATTGTATAATTGTTTTCTTATAGTTTTAATGATTTGGTTGATATTTTTATGATCAATTTCATTTGTATAAAATACATAACTCTTATTTTGATATTTGTATAAAAGTGTAGATTTATTTGTATGAAAAATGTATGAATATTTGTATAAAAAGGTATAAATATTTGTATAAAAATGTATAAATATTTATATAAAAATGTATAAATATTTGTATAATTTTTTTTTATCAAAATGTATAAATATTTGTATGAAAATGTATAAATATTTGTATAAAAGTGTATAAATATTTGTATAAAAAAGTATCAATATTTGTATAAAAGTGTATAAATATTTGTATAAAAAAGTATCAATATTTGTATAAAAATGTATTAATATTTGTATAACATGTATACATAATTGTGTAAAAATGTATACATATTTGTATAAGAATGTATAAATATTTGTATAAAAATGTATAAATATTTGTATAAATCTATCAATAATTGATATTTGTTTCGATATTCTTTTATGGGTATTTTTTTTTAATTATTGTACTAATGATGTATGTTATATAACTGGTATTTAGTATATCGTATATTAATATTTTGTATAATTGTATATTTATATTTTGTATATTTATATATATATTTTGTATATTTATAGGTGTTAGATGGAGAAATGATGGATTTATTAAACCCACATACCAATGAAATGAAAATCAGAGAGCACCCAAATAAAGGCATCTACGTTGATGGTTTATCGGAATTGGTCTGCCATAACCAGGACGAGTTAAAGATGTACTTTGACCAAGGAACCAGAGCAAGGAAGATGGCAGCTAGCGACATGAAAGCTCACAGAACACGGGCACATTCTATTTTTAATATCAACATCGAGCAGAAGGAAAAACAGTCCAGTAAAGTTGGTATAAGATCTACCATAACATTAGCAGATTTAGCAGGATGTGAAGTCCAAGATGCTGATGCGGATACTCTTCAACGAGCCGAGACTCAAGCCATACTGAACGTTATTACAGCATTAGCTGATTCTAAGAAGAAAGGTGGTCACGTTCCTTTCAGAGATTCTAAAATAACCCGCTTGCTTCAGGAGATGCTTAGCGGGAACACCATCACCATGATGCTTGCAGTTGTCTCTCCAGCAGATAAATGCTACAAACAGACGTTGTCCACTTTGGAGCATGCACAGATGATAAGAAACGTCAAAAATAAAGTCAAGCTTAATGTGGATGATACCCAAACAGTTATTAATGAATTACGCAATGAAATTAGCAAGCTGAAGGATAAAATAGCAGCAAGTAATGAACCCAAGCAAGAGGATGTAAGCAAAATGGAGGAACTCGTCCAAGATTTACAAGTGGCCAAAAAATTCAGTATATCCGAAAGAGAAAAACTGTCGACTAAATATGCCGAGGACAGAAAGATTAATTTATCCAAGAAAGGTATTTTGGAATGGGTTATGGGCAGTGACAAACAAGGCAGTGTTGAGGTCCAAGAAAAATTACTGCTTTTACAAAAGGAAAAAGATCAATTGACTATCCAATACAAGGACAAGCGAAAGATTATCGGCGATTTGAAGGAAGAACTGCAGAATAAAATAACAGAATATTCTAAATTTACTGAAAGTGGCCAGAAAAGTGAATCGGAAACCAAATCCAGAGTAAATGCCATTAAAACTCTGAAAGATAAATTGAAAGAAGAAACTGAGAAAATTAAAAGAATTAAGGATGAATTAAATGTTTTATTGGACAAGCAGCAAACAGAAAGACAGAATGCCCAAGCTCAAATTTCAGCTCTGAAGGGAAACGCGAATCTGAGACAGAAAGTTGAAGTGGAAGAAAGGCAGAGGTTAGAAGCTGAAAACAAAACTTTAATTGACGAAGAATTGGACAGAATACAAATGGAAATCGAAAGTAAAAAGGCTGATGTCCAAATGCAAATCGCAGAGGGGAAAACGTACACTGTGGAAGAAGGCAAAAAATTAGAAATTGAATTGGCAGAACTGCAAGCTGAAAAATCAGTGGTCACTCTGAAGCTACACTGTCTTGAAAAAGAAAAAGCTCACGTTAGTAAGGAGCTAGATGAGATTTACCAGTTACATCATGACGAGCTGGAATTACAACAGTTGCAGCATTATCAAACCTTTAGACAATATCGTCAAATGTTCGAGGAACAGAAAGTTGCTATAGAACAGCGTTATCGAGTCTTGTTAGAAGAAGCTCTGCAAGACGCTGTGTATTTATCAGCACGAAATCAAGAAATTTTACAGGAACAGGCCCCTTTAAAACAACAAAATGCTGAAATGAAAGATGTTATCACTAAACTTGGTGGTAAAATTCCTCCCTTGGAAAATTAATCAAAAATATTGAGTGCTTTCATGGTTAAATTTAAAGATTGAGTGCTCTAAAATAATATTAAGGTATTATGACTATTCATACTATCTGGTAACATTCCTATATTTAAAGGGATAGATGCGGCATTTTGGAGGGCTGATTTTAGTCTCGAATGTATGTAAATAGTCTTCAGAAGTCCTAGAAATGAACGAAAATAGCATAATTCCATTAAAAATATCCCAAGCTAGGAATTTTACTCACAAATGGCTAAGCTAAAAAAAAAATCCCGTTTCTGAGACTAAAGTTTGATTGGTCAATAAAAAAATGGCGCAACTATCTCTTTAAGTCTGACATAAATAAGCAATTCTGTGATATAATATCTCGATCCTGACGCCGGATTTCCATTATTAAAAGTGATATGGGTAGCAGCAATTATGATTATAACCAATTTAATGGACTACTACATATTCCCTTGAAACAATTGTTTGCATTTGATATAATTATGTCGGCATTTCCTTTCAGTTTACACGCTTTGTTTTCAGAAAAATAAAATAAGTGCAATTATGATGGCCCATTATGATTTTGTTTTCTTGTAAAATATTTTATTTTTTTGCACACGGGTGAAGGTATATCTCCAAAGTTTGTTAGTCAATTTCTTTTAAGATGTCACGTCTTTATTATGTTATTGTAACAAAATGTAGTTATTGTATATTTAAATGTATCATTATGTATATTAAATGACATTAATATTGTGCAATGAAATAAAGACCGATTTATATCTGAACAAGCTACCCCAAGCATATTTAATTCATATCTGAACAGGCACAACCCATGTATGAATAACTTACAACAACACCCATCCCATGTATGAATAACCAACAACACCCATCCCATGTATGAATAACTAACAACAACACCCATCCCATGTATGAATAACCAACAACACCCATCCCATGTATGAATAACTTACAACACACCCACCCCATGTATGAATTACTTACAACAAACCCATCCCGTATATCAATAACTAACAACCGCACCCATTCAATGTATGAATAAATTACAACCACACCGACATCATGTATGAATAACTTAAAACCACACCGACATCATGTATGAATAACTTACAACCGCACGGACATCATGTATGAATAATTTACATCCACACCGACATCATGTGTGAATAACTTACATCACCCATCCCATGTATGAATAACTTACAACCACACCTATCCCATATATGAATAACTTACAACCACACCCATCCCATGAATGAAGAACTTACAACCACACCCACCCCATGTATGAATAACTAAAAACCACACCCATCCTATGTATGATTAACTTACAACAACACCCATCTCATGTATGAATAACTTACAACAACACCCATCCCATGTATGAATAACTTACAACAACACCCACCCCATGTATCAACAAATTACAACGTCAACCCCACGTATGAACAAGTATGCCCCAATGCACAATCTATCTACTTGCGGTTCAACGCATCGTCACAGCAGTTTCATTTTTATTTACAAGTCTTCGGCCCATCGTTGAATTCTAAACGCGTAGAAGATGCGCTCCTATCAGTAAAGATCATTTAAGAGAATTGCATTTGCGCTCTTATTTAAAAGAGACCGTTTAAGGGAATATTCTCGTTGAATTCTAATTCCTGCTAAGTGAGGTTTGCTTCAACGCTTCTTAGATGTTTCCTATCAATAAGAGATCAACATTCTCGTAGAATTCTAGCTATGTTTTATGAATAACTCTGACATTCACAAGTTAAGCTCTAGTCAATAAGATTTAAATTTTCAAATTTCTTAGACGTCCTTAAGATTATCTCTTATCAATTTAGTACATGTGCACAGGTTTGATATCGGATTAAATTTATAGTAATTATAACTGTATGACCAGCTGGGTTAGTCTACTCCAACCTGAATACGCGCGGTTGCAATATAAAGATAGCCAATACTACATACATACATCCTTTCTCGTGCTTTCAATAGCTGGGCGTTGTACCGTTAAATGACTCACGCGGAAACGTTGATCAAATATTGGCGTGTTTAAGTCAGTTTTTACCTCTAACTTTTATTGCGAAGAAAATCACTAATATACAGTCAAAATGCCTATGAAATTCGTAAGTATTTATCAAATTTATTGTTAATATAACGAATTTTATCTCAATTTCGTAAAGTTTGATATATGACTTAGTTTAAACAGTATATTTATATCGCATTTTCCATTTAATACCTTTAGGTGTTATTTATTTAACCTAACGATTAATATATGCACTAGTTACAGCTAAATATAACTTTGTTTGCGTGGGAATGGTATATCATTGTTTTACCGTATGAATATGCATGTAATAACAATTATCAGTACCATTTATGTTTTATATTAAAAGAAATCGGTCAGTTTTCTCAAAATGGAATCCGTGACCTTTCTTAACCCAACTTCTTTGAAAACAACACATTTCGTGTTATGTTTACACGTTTCTATAAATATACTGCGTATTTATTGACACTATATTATATACTTATATTAAGATATACTAATACAGAAATAGTACTATTAAGCATTACAATCGATCACGTCCGTGTATCCGAAACGCTAATAATTTGCGCAAAACAGTGTTAAATTTGAGCAACATACGTTTCTGTTTTCTGCGCCTACTTTTTTGTTGTTGATCAATGTTTTCATTTGGTAACCAAGGCAATAGAATTACATTATGTAGGTACATTTGACTGTGGGGAAGGGAATTGATTTGTCCCTATGGAGTTTTAGATTATATCATATCGTATCGTACCATATCGAAGTTTATATCATAGTTCAATATTCGCGAGTTTACAATGTTGAATTGAACACTTACAATACATTCAAATAGAAGGAAATACTTTCAACATAATAGAGGAAATATTTCAATATATTCAACCGTGTGTGCACTTATACTCTCATAGCGATATTGATATATTGAATACAGTAGAAACCGTATTTAGAGACCACTCCCGGCGAAAATCCAAAACGGTCTCTTAAAGGTGCGCCATTTCGGGAGTAAACCATATCTTGGTCCCAGAAACGTGAATTGTTCCGCTAAACTAATCAGTAATAATGTTCACGGTTTTCCCTCGAAATCTAAGCCTTCAAGTCCATAATAATAATTAATAATAATAATTAAAAATAATTAAAATTTATATTATTAAAAATCATAATAATAATTATTATTATCTCTGTTTTGAAAGTTATTTCAACGAGTCGTCATTTTAAGAGCCTTTTTATTTTAAATATCCGTTGATGACGTAATGTGTATATACATTATACTCAATCATCCTGTCCCACTTCGTCTACGCACAGAAGATGTCTTGGCGTCCAGAGACTTTATCAACAAGAAGTTCAACTTTCGGATACCCCAAATTTCAGGCAATAGATAAGCTTGTGAACGAAAAAAATAAAAAGTTATATTTCTTGTTTGAGATCTATTTGAAGGAATTATGCGATTTTCGTACAGATTTTTTACTTCTAAAGATTATTTACATTTTATCCAATGCCCAAATTATCAACCCCCATAAAATGCCTTACTAGTCCCTTTAAAAGAGTATTGCATCAGAGCTTGTTATTGATACATTGAACAAGTTGCCAAATCGAATTATCTGACAAATCTAATAATGATGAAGTTGGCAACTGAACCAATATATAGCCTTTATTACTTTACAGTATTCTGTTCATTATTCATTGTTTATTTTCACTAATAACTGTTATCTCTCGATAAGAACAATTTAACAAATGGTCCATTGATACGTCCATAATTAACCTTTAACATGTTGTAGAAAATTGTGGTTCCCATTTGGCAACGTAAAACTTAGCCAAGAAGAAGGCAAAGAATTGATTTGCCTTAAAGAGACATGTACGTCATTTTTTTTACCAATCATACCTTAGAATATTTTTATCTAAGACAATCAGTAATAGTGTTCACAGCTCACCGTCGAAATTTGAGCCTTCAAATCCATGTGTGTCAAAGATTATACTACCTCTTAAGATGACTAAAATATTCAAATTTTAAACTTGGTCAATGAGTCTAAGTAATTGTTGAAACACGAATAGAAGCATTTTTCAATAATTATAATTATTATATAGTTTAATGGAAATATCATCATATATAGAGATTCTATTCTTTAGTCATGACACCTGTTTGTAAGTCCAACTGATGAGTTTCACGCTATGCAATCTACAAACAACTGATATATTTCAGCCAGGCCCCTACTGCAGTTTGACAAGTAGAACTTGTTCTTGTATCTGCATTTTGAGACATGTTCGGATCATTTTTTTCAAGATTTGTGCCTAAAGGGTATTTATGATGGAAAGTTTCTCAGTAATAAGCAGGTTGCATCGTTTGGTTATATTTGCATATTTTTGACGTTGACGAATATGGTGTCTATTTTTGATGTTAAAACAACTAAATATGATTATAAAATCATTGTTTAAACGTGTTTTCAGTCATCCCTTTCTACGGGCGTAATGTGGTAGATCTCTAGATTTTGGTGTGTAGTTTTAACAAATAAAGCAAAAAAAAAAAATGACCTACGAAAAAGCGGAATGTCCCTTTAATTAAGAGATGCCACGCTGACCGGCACAATCGAAGGGCATCAGGTTTCAAGAGTGCGCTTACTATTCTTGTATTTCTACACCTGCTACAGTATGAATTGGTATTTCTTTATCTTGAAAGATCTTATTATGGGTCTATCCGGTGTAAAAGAGCACACATGGTGCTCGTATGGCCATGTTCTGATAGCCAAAATAATATATTTGTTGTATATAAATAGATTACTCCAGCCACCAATAGTGTAGACTAGTAAACATATGTTTCGCTGAAAGTTTATCTGATATAAATTGCTCTATGTGTTCCTTATCAAACAGTTAATAGGTGAAATACCAGTTTCAAAATAAAAATATGTTTTGCATGGGATGGGTTTTACAAATAAGAGCCCAACATTTCAAAATGAAATGAATGGAGTTTTGCGTCCTTCTTTTCTGCACCACGTGGGCTAATGAAGACGGGCAACGCCATGCAGGGAAATTTTGCCAGGACAGCGGCATTAGCCTGCTCTTTTTCGATTTCCAACTGTCGAGGGATCTTTGACGTGCACAGCCTGTAGCACATGGGGTCCCTAAAATTTCAAGAGCATACGTGTATATGTCTAAAGACAACTTCCGTCCATTTGGGATCGTTTACAGCAGTGATTCCCACCCCTGGAGCACCTGAACCTTTTACACCTTTTTTGGGAACCAGGTGATCATACACCTAGATTTTTTGGAGATTGTGTTTATGTTACAAGATTATTGCAAACTTACGAGGGTTTTCTTAGACTATCGTTATTATTTTAAGGCTGATATTTCTAGATAGTTATCTAGATAATCAAATTCAATTACCTATATAGCAGTTATTAGACTCTAGCATAAAAGCTCCATAATATGCTGGCTCACGATGACAATACCGCATTATTCAGGCGTTTTCAACCTATTTTACATGACAGCAAGACAGAGTGATAACTAAACGCTAATCTTATTGGACTAAAATGTGTCGTAGCCAATTGGCATTAAGTTTACATCTACTGAGTTAAAATTTAACCCGATTAACACTGATTGGTGATATTTGGTCTAATCAGTCGGTACAATCTAAACCTGAGAGTCACGGTTTGTTCGGAATTACTCGTATCTAACTCGCAAAAAATCAACAATTTTGGACAAAAAATTATTGAATTGAAACTCGAAATTTTCATGAAGGTTTGGATTCACATTCGTTAGCATGTATTCAAAAGGCAAGATTCTGAATATGTTTAGATCGTGAGATATTAGGCTAAATGTGGTTTATGGCCTCTCAGCTGTGCGTAATTCGTAATTTGACAGATTGTCACGAAAGTCGCGACAAGCGCACACAGAAATTGTAACGCTTGGGTCTAATTAATCGTAGCCTGAATCATCCAGACTGAAATTTTCTGTGTCAGTGTCCATTCCATCCCGTTGAGTTGAATATAGCTTGACGAAACGGCGAACTTGTTGCCTTTGATTAGGTCCAGAAACCGATGTATTTTTTGTTTAAAAGCACCAGAAAAATGCATTTTGAATTGATATGTTAGTTTGTGACGGCTTTGTGGTACATGGCAGAATCCGTGACAATTTGATTAAAATGAAGGTGTTTTTGTTTCTTGTTTTTTTCTGCAAGACACTACACTTACCATCTTTGAAGCATGTTCTGTGGAATTTTGAGTTTCCATACTTTATGCTAACCGATCGAAAACAATTGTACGATAATACAAGTCAATACACGCATATATAAAGGAAAGAAAATCTGGCATTGAACTGAGCATTTGATTGGTTGAATATTAGATGACCCAGAACAGGAGATACACAACAATCTCTTCAGATTATGACCAAGTGGAGTCATCCATTGCATAAACACAAAACAAATCGGATTTGCGAAGCACATTAGATTTGTGGCTTACATATAACATTGTAGATTCAATAGCACAAAAGGCAGGTAGCAAATTTAAAGATGGGTTCCCTTATTTTCATTTATTAATATGAAAATGCCAATACTTATATGAATAGAAAGCAGAGGTGTTCTTATGACTTGGAAAATACCAGTTAGCTAAATTAGAAGAGAATTACCAGCAGAATTCCAATGAGTACCTTCCGATGAAGGAAGGTCAAAAAGTCTTGTTTGTTTATCCAGACTGTACATACATGGACATTTATGATTGGTTATTATTATCTTAGAACATAATGATATGATTACGAATACGTGATATTTCATAAGAAACACCAATTAATCAAATAGTTTGCTTAATTTGACACTAAAAAATTAAGGATACCCATCTTTAAGTCAATGCAAAATATTGAATAAAATGCAGTTGACATAACTTTATTGATCTAGCATATAAGTAGTTACATATTTGCATATATAACCCAACAACAAACACGTAACAAATCATAGTGTAAACTTTATAGTTATTATGGTTGCTTTCCATTCCAGGGTGGAGGCGATAAATGTGCATCATGCGAGAAAACAGTCTATCCACAAGAAAAACAAGAAGCTGGTGGTAAAAACTTCCACAAGAACTGCTTTAAATGTACCAACTGTAAAATGGCGCTAAAGTAAGTATTTAAACTAAAAGGGACATTTCGCTTTTTTTAGGTCGAAAATTTGTTTTACCCAAATTTGTGAAAACTAAAATCTTTTTAAAAAAAGTGGAATACCCATTTAAGTATATCTTTTTTTATATTATTGGTTGGTAGATGACAAGTTAACGTTCGCTTCCAGCGTATGCTGATATCGCAAACTATGTACATGTAGTTGTTGGTTGTCGTAGTAGTTGGTAGTTGAATTTTTTTTAAATTTGTATAATATGATATACGTTGTATGTAGCACGATAAAGATTTTCCCCATTGCTCACTGTATGGTGTAAGTGCAGTCAATATGTAGCATCATATTTACATATTTGTACATCAGAAATGAAATCGTATGCAGAATAAGTATCCTTCTGGATCTGTTACGGCGAATGAAGACTGACAACGCCATGCAGTGTGCAATTAGAGTTGAATTTGTGTCAGAACAGCATTTTTTTGCTCAATCGGTTGTCATTTCGAAATGTCGAGGAAGCTGTACACCCGAAAACGATGTGTCGAGACGATATTTCATTTTATATGTAAATGGGAGATAACTCGAATCAGCTTGTACAGCCGAAGAAGAGTACCCTCTGATTTTGCAGAAGACAGGCGAGGCTGTAACATTCAAAATATAATGTTAATCTAGCTTTCCAAGAAAGATTACCCAATTGACCAATACATGTGTTTGATGCAGCCCAATTCAGTCAAAACAATACACCTCTTGACTGAGGAAAAATATCTGACTTTTTGCTGTTAAAATGAGTTTCCTTAATTTTTAGTGTCAAATTTGAGACAAACTGGTATTTTTCCAAGTCATTAGAATACCTCTACTTTCTATTCATATAAGTATTAGCATTTTCATTTTCATAAATAAAAATAAGGGAACCCATCTTTAAGGTATTGTTTTTCTCTTTGCAGGTTGAACAACTACGCACAAGCACACGGCATTTTATACTGCAAGAAACATTTTCAAGAGCAAGTCACCGCCAAAAATACACAGTCAGAAGTTGCCTATTAAAGCTCTGAAATAGACAAACAGTGTAGTGAAAGTAGTAAAAGGGGTTATCTTAAACTTTTCTTTATTTACTGCATTCGATCTTAAGCGCACTGGCATGCGACGAATAACTTGTGAAATTGGGTATGCAGATATTCATGTTCGTGGTTTTTCTGTGGGCAACTGCAGTTGTCACTCATGATCTGACACAATTAATCTAACCCGCCGATAAAACATCTATAGTTCAACAAAATGTGATATGCTTACTCAAGCATCAAAATCCAAGCATTGAAAAACAACCAGTTCACTCCTTTGTGATCATTCGGGTCTATCCAATTTCACAAGTTATACGTCACACCCGTGTCGACAAAAAGCGCCAATGTAAACTGCACAGACGATGACAACTAAGTCAGCAAATTACCAAAGAATATGCAGTCCATCATAGTTCCTTTAAGTATGGATCTCCTTCTAGTAGAATATATAGTTAATAAACGAAATTTCTCTCATCATGTATGTACCTTTATTGGATACTAAACGACGCATGACAACAGCAGATCACGTTCAGTACAATAAGAAATAAGAATTTGATTTGTAGGAATTATCAATCTATCAAGGCCTTACTGACGTTATATTCAAATTTTGTTTGATTTAAAAATATTGTAATCTTATTGGTTAATAAAACTGATTTTAAAATTTATTGTATTGATTGACCAATCAGATGACGGAATTCTAAGAGGTTATGCATTCGAACCTAAAACTACAACGAGCTCATACAGATTGTCATTATAGTATAACCAGATGGTGACGTCGCTATCAGAATTTGCACGTCTGATTTGCGCAGCGGTGGCACCAGTGGTGGGGTGGGGGGGGGGGGCCTAGAAAAATGGTTTGTACTCCCACATATTCAATTTTTCAATTCTTGGGGAAAAACCCTTTCAGACTCTCCATGGGTCGCTTACACCTACGGCGTCTCCTCAGAGCTCCTGAAAATTTCAACCTATACAGCAATTCGTCTTACTGGGACCGAATAATGACCACACAGTTGAGGAGATTTGACTTTTCACAATTTCTACTCATCATGAATGATAGTGTACATGTACTTGGAAATTGAATAACAGAAAAAAGGACGAATGTTTTCTATTATTGAATGAATTTCTTTCTCCTAGAGCATTTAAACCAAAAAATTATCTCCTTTTCTGAGTTAAACGCATTATCTTTCTTCACAATGGTACTACAGTGTAGTGAAGAATACTTCTAAAAGCGAATTTCTAGAATTTAAATTGTTTCTATTAAAAGTGACAGATTTCATTACAAATTTACATTCGCTGAAGCACGTACACCACCCAAAAAATTCACATTTTTTTCAGAAGAAACATTCGGCGTCCTGTTCCATTGCAATTCAATAAAAACATACCATGAAAGTTTGGACTGTCGTCGCTCAATATTCATATTATCAAAGGCAGTTTTGATGGATGACATCATGATATCGGTAATCAGATAATGACTAGGTAGTGACGACAGTCTTAAAGGGACAGATTCGCCATTTTCTGTGGTTAATTTTTGGGTTTTGAATATGTAAATAGTCTTCAGAAGTACTAAAAATGATCGAAAATGGCATAATTCGTTCAAAAATACCTCAAATTAAGAATTTTTGTTTCTATCTGTCTTTTTTGTATATGACATAGAGACGAGTCGTCTTTTCAAATTTTAAACGCGGATAATTCTTGACGGTGAGCTGTGAACACTATAGCTGATTGGCTTAGCTAAAAAAAAATCCCGTTTCTGAGACTAACGTACAATTGGTCAAACGGATGGCGAATATTATCGCATATAAGAAATAGTTTTAAACAATAAATATGTCCAGGTCTGTACAGTCTGGATAAACAAAAAAAGACTTTTTGACCTTTCTTGATCGATCACTTATGGAATTCTGCTGGCAATTCTCTTCTAATTTAGCTGATTATGAATTGGTTATGGACATGTGAGACAAACTGGTATTTTTCCAACTCATTATAACACCTCTACTTTCTATTCATATAAGTATTAGCATTTTCATTTTCATAAATAATAATAAGGGAACCTATCTTTAAAGTAGTATTATTACGAAATTCCAAGTGTTTCAATTTATAATTTGTATATCAATTTACAAATTATTCTAGATAGAGCCACCCGTCGACACAAAATTTATGGAACAAAACTCGCGTTGTCGATGTGCTTTTTGTTCCCATTAACATACGTGCTTCTCTCATCGTCTTCTGGTAAACAAACCGAACAATTCTGTCATTTGTGGTGCTTGAGTTATGGACTGTATTTTTTCCTGTTTTCGTTTTGCTAAAATATGGATAATATGTGTAAACGTAAAGTAAAGATATATAACTCAATCCAATACAAACCATCCTAATAACAAAACCTATCACGCACTTTCACATGTCCAGTAGCCTCCTCAAACTGGGGCCACTGTCAGGGAGGAAGGTGCAGGATCCTGTCAGGGCAGTCTAATTAAAATTAGTCTATACGCCCCCAAATGCACCTATTGTTCGCGTCACATTATCCCGTCGCTGCCACGTGATTGGTTAAAACAGAGGTCAAGCAAAGGTGAACAGGATGAAAAGTCATGAAGGGCTGTGTTAGACCTTACTGTAGTGGTTACGTACAAAGCTAATAGTTAATAAAACATTCTAAACGAAACTAATAAAATACGAACGGAAGTTAGGTCTAATTCTAATTAGACCTTTCTCAGGGTTGAGATTCCAACGTCTTGGCGGTTCTATACGACAACCAAAAACTAATTTGGAAAATAATATTGATTGTTTTGTAGAAATGAAGTGAGGTGTGCCATTGGGGAACAAAAATTTCAAATAATCAGATCTATTTTTTATGAGTTATTGTCCTTGCTTTTCGAAATTCTTTCAAATTTAGAAAACTCTTATGAGGTCAAACCTAAGTCGAAATGTATGACTTAAAGCTAAACATTTCTTGTTGGTCATAGTCCCTGACACCAAGACGAAAATATAGTCTCGGACTTTGCATTGAATTTTCTGTTAGGACGCTTTTAAAATTCCTTCAAGGGAGAAAATTAAAGCGGATTTGGATTTACAACCAATCAGATTCATTAGTTATACTAGACTCGGTCAATTTCAAATATTTTAAGCAACCGATCTAAGCCTTCTTTCGTCGAAGCTGTACATAGACAAAGAGGGACTGGATGATGGAGGTTAGCTGGTCACAGTTGCCATTCTATCGAGTCCTATTGAAGCAGAACTGCCAGTGTGGGTGTATTCTATGTTGCCCGGCAACCTGACTGAAGTCAGAAATATTGATACAGAAGTTAGTTGTTTCTCAAGATTTCACACTGAGCGAGTTTCAGACAGTCCTTTAGATCTCACAGCATGATACTCCAAGTTACAATAAACTACAGATTCGGTTTTGATATTTCTTCATCAGTCTGTAATTAATTCATCAAGGCATAGTAATTATCAAATTATTCTTGAAAGATATAACTACGTCTAGAGCCAGAAACAAACGAGAACCGTGGCATTTTGTTTTAAGAATTTCGATGTAAGAAAAATTTTAATATGCGTGGTATTCTGCATCAAAAACTTTTTGAAAATTATTTTATAATTTAAATTATTTTTTTCTGACCCAGAATTTTTTTTTGTCACGGTTCCAAAGAATGAACATCTAGAAGGTAATTACCTACTGAAACAAAATGTAATCGATTAAAGCAGTCTAAATGAAATTAGACAAAACTTTCGTTCCGTTATTTTATCAGATTTTATTTTTAATACAGCCACTTCAGTTAGGGTGCTAAGACGTCCTTTTTGAACATTCGTCAGTTTAATGACACCGTCAGCCAATCGAATTTCTGCCCTCTCGATCGTTGGGATTTTGTGACGCGAACAAAATGTGTATATTTAGAAGCACAAGACACTGAGTGCACCTTTTGTTCTTGTCACAAAATAAAAGCTATTTAAAAAACGGAACGAGAGTTTGGTCTAATGTCGATTGAAATGTTCTATGGCGCGAAGGGATAACTGTATATTATGGACATGCAGTGGCAGTGCCAAAAGGCGTGGGGGGCGGGGAGGGGGCAGAGGGGTCAGCCCCCCTCATAGCCCCGAACGCAAGTTTTTCGGGCATGACTCTCATAACTAGGTTAGGAATTCAGATATTTTGCCCCCTCGGACGTAAACCTGGCTCTATCACTTTGGACATGTTTCTGAAAATCATGGTGATTATAAAGCAAGAGTCATTCTCTGGAAGTGTATTGATTCCTTGTGAAAACTGGTAAAAGTGTTTTGATAAAACTATGAAGATATTTGAGCACTTGAACATTTGTTCAGGTTGTTTTCTTATTAATGAAGACAGACAAGGCCATACAGTGTGCAATGAAAGAGATGTTGATGTAGAGAGATTGATTTTGTTCTTGTAATTATTCCACATCAGCTCCGACTCTATCACGTTAAAGATCTCTCGACAGTTGGAAATTGAAAAAGTGCAGGATAATGCCGCTGTCCTGGCAAAATTTCCCTCATTGTACCCTGCATAGCGTTGCCTGTCTTCATTTGCTCACATGGTGCAGAAAAGTAGGACGTTAAACTCCATGCATTTCCTTTCATTTTCCGACTTGTATCACTGACAAGGACGAACCAGGTTGAAAAATCTGAAGGTATCGAACAACGGATGCCTGCGTTCGTTATTTCAGAAGCGACAAGTTACGGATTACAAGTCTATAATAGATACAACAAATTATTGAAAAAGACGATAAAATTTTATTATGCATGATTTTATAATAATTGTTTCATTCGTTAGCACCCCGATTCCTCCAAACTGGCACTGTTTCCAGTCGTACACATTGAGCTGCAACTCAGTAATCCATTACGCTGATAGTTCATTGCCGATTTACTTTTATTCAAGGTGTTATATTGGCATTTCAGAAGCTTTAGGAATGTCATTTTAAATATACGATTAAATATGGTATAAATGATCGGATTAAGCGTGCTGGACACGTAGCCGAGCCACACGAATACGGTAACCATGGTCGTATCCAACTGGCAAGATTTGCACAAAACCGTCATGATATTGGCAATGAAAAACGGGGCCCAGCATGTGATGAAAATAAGAAAGACCACGCCAAGAACTTTGGTTGCTTTCTGTTCAGTTTTGACAGAGTTGACCTTTTTGACCGAGTCTTTCTTCTGCAAGAGAACATTTGCTGCTTTGATAGCACCTTGATGCTTTTTCACTAGGTCTTTCAGAGTTCTATTACTGCGGGTTGAAAATTGGTCGGAAGTTTCGAGATCGTCCGATTCGTTTATATCAGACTCCCGAGATGTTCGGTAACTTGGTCCACCGGAAGTACTCCGCTTCAGGTAATTATTTGAGACATTTGAGCCAGTTTTTAAAAGCGACGATATATTATGATATTTCACTTTGTCGCGTTCTAAATTTCCATTTTTGTGATTATTATTTTTATTTTTGCCATGTCCCGTACTTGTCGATCGTCTCATCATGGGCGCACCGTCTTTCGCGTTACAAAGCTTGGCTTGTTGATTCAACATCTTTACGGTCAGCCCATACATGACTAGCATGATACACAACGGGATGAAGAACGCAAATATGGATCCATAAATGATGAAATGGGAGTTAGTCAATGCACATATATCCCCCATTAACACATTCTGGGGCTCTAACAGGCCCAGCACTGTTATTGGGCTCGTTATGGCGATTGATATGGTCCATACTAGCACTATTTTCATCGAGACGACCGATTTCGTCTTATTTTTAGTCCACAACGGATACCGTATTCCAATGTATCGTTCCAAAGAAATGGTACACAGATGTAAAATTGATGCAGTACACATCAGTACATCAGCTGTTACAAAAATATCGCAGAGAACCAAACCAAACAACCATTTACCTGTAAAACAAAATAAAGAGTTCACATTAAACATTAACCCAAGACATAAACAATAATTTAGAAAGATGATTCGATCTTGGATGTACTGGCCGACAGCCAAATAATCTTTTAATGCCGCTTAAATCAAAATACTTGAAAAGTCGATAGATAATATACAAAAATGTTTATTTAGTTTTCAAGATACAAGAACAACATATAAACACAGCTTTATGGAACAAAAATCACCGATTAAAGTTTTAGGCAGCGTTTCCATGTGTTTTCCATCGTCCTCAGGCATGTATTGATAAAAAGTAATAGAATTGGGTATTTATTGTAAAGAAACCACGGTTAAAATTTGATTATGAGACTTTTTTCTCCACGTCCATGGTTGAATTGGAAGAAATTCTAACTGAATCTGATATGACTGTTCGAAACAGCAGTCAAATCAAAATTGACTTTCTTTCCGTTTTTTTATTAACTTTTATTCATAATTTAGCCACTTCAGTTAAGGTCTAAAGATGGGTCTCTTGAACAATTGTCAGTTAGATGATACCATCAGCCAATCAAATTTCTGCCCGATCAGATTTTATGACGCGATCAAATGGCGCAGTCTGTATCTAATGCTTCTCGAAATACACCAGATTTTTTTTATGTTTTTTGATTGGTTAGCATACGGTGACAAAACCTTTGACGGTATTCGATTTTTATTTGACTGAACAACACTTAAAGAAGAATTTCGCCAGATCACCGAAGCAGTAGTGTTTCTAGGATAAATAAGTTGGGAGACCGAGCAGTGATTTTCCAAGGGGTCACAGGCAATTCTTTTACTCTGTAAAATGATAAAAGAAATGAAAGGTGGAGGATGGACAAAGACAGGCCAGCCACTTTTCTAAGAGGGGGGTGGGGGGAGGTGGAGCATGCCCTCTCCGAAGAAACGCCACAGTGTGGAATGTAGTTTAGTAACTCACAAGAAAATAAAAACGAAAGTAGATCAATATTTTAACAAGTTTAAAAAATCTGGACAATCTCATGGTTATGCTGATCAATAATATCATACTTTATATTCAACCTTGGCCTCCGGACATTAAACAAAGTCATAAACGCTTACATTAATATGAATTGCACATTGTCATCATACAAGACTGGCGGTTCGTCCATATTTGCTCGTTAATACGAAACTTAATGGAATTGTTTATTTGCTCTCGAGAACTGTAATAATGATGAGTTATTGCCCTTGTCGTTCAATGGTTCTACTTTTTTCTTTTAATGATGAAATACTTTACGGAAACAGAAAACGTTTATGTGAGATTATGCGTTTGACCTTCAAAAGTTCTACTTTTTCCTTCAAAAACAGAGAAAAAGACTATCTAAACCCGAGTTATTGCTAAATTGTTGTTCTTAACTCCTACTTTTGTCTCTCGAGAAACACTTTAGATGACGCAATACTTGACGAAAACCGAAAAAAATCTAACGTGAGTTATTGCCCTTGTTCTTCAATGGCTCTACTTTTTTTTCTCGAAAAATACTCGACAGAAACAGAAAGACTATCCAAATTTGAGTTATTGCCCATGTTTTCTTAACTCCTTAGCATTTTTTCTCCAGAGCACTTTTAATAACGTAAAATCTCAACGCGAGTTATTGCCCTTGTTCTTAGAAACTCACTCTTGCTCGTAAACACGCTACATGAAGCAATTTTTGACGGAAACAGACCAAAATATATGTTAGTGAGTTATTGCCCTTGTTCTTAGAAACTCGTTGTACTCATTCTAACGAGTAAAAAATCTAATTGACGGAAACAAACCAAAACATATATAACTCATTCTAATTATCCTTCAAGGAGGGCTTAAAATACAGTCTAATAGAGCGTTGGAGAGTCGGGTGACCTTGAATAAGATATCTTTTCTTATTATTTCCCAAAAAAATCAATGTCAAGAGGTTCGATAAAACGAACAACTGGTAGAAATGATCCTCGCTAACCTAATGGTCGTTCCATTCTACTCATTCTTATTCGTAAAGACTCTGCACGTTACATTTTTGAGAATCTCTGTCAAAAAAATTGTAATATCCATTAAGGATCACAATTAGAAATTGACATGAAAAATATTTAACGTGTGTTATTGATCATGGTATTCTCCACGCATTCTATATTTCACTTGTAAAAAATCTAAATAACACAATATAGTCCTAGATTTAAAAGATGGGTTTTCTTTTTTTAGTGTCGAATTAAGCAAACTATTTTATTACTTGGTGTTTCTAATGAATTATCATATATTCTTAATCATATCATTATGTTCTTATTGCATGTAATTAAGAGTTTTAACCAACCATAAAAAGAAGACTTTTTGACCTTTTTTGATCCGTCACTCATTGGAATTCTGCTGGTAATTCTCTTCTAATATAGCTAATTATGAATTAATTATGGATTGTTTTTCCATAAGTCATTAGAACACCTCTACTAAGTATTAGCATTTTAATGAAAATAAGGGAACCCATCTTTAAAGATATTTGTTAAATTTATATGTCATCCTCAAAGGGCGAAAAATTTTAATGGAGGTGTCTTCATAATGTTTAATTTATCCCAAAGAATCAACAGCAATGTCAATTTGAAAAAAGTAGAAAATACTAATGTAAAATTTGCCTCATAATGTGAAAGTTTTCTCCAAGCCCCCAAAAACCAACTGAATTTCAAATTTAAAACACGAGAATACAAAGTTAAGGTGCACTCATAATGAAAAATTTATCTCCGATCCCCGAAGAATCAACAGCAATCGCAATTTGTAAAAAATCGAAAAATTCTAACTGAAGGTGGCCTTATTATGCTAGATTTATCTCCAACCCAATGCAATTTGTAAAAAGCGAAATATTCTAACTGAAAGTGGTCTCATAATGCTCACAAATCAAAATGGTGATCTTTGGCATTAAACCTACTTCATCAACCTGCTAATGTGTTTGTTTAATGCTCGATCAACGGTTAGGACTTGGATATTGATCTTCATTCAGTTATGATTTTCGGGTCAAAGGCTCGGCAGTTTCCATGTGAGACAACTGTTAATGGCACAACATTGCCAGTGGTTAATCGTAATAATGGTATTTATTTTCGGGGCAAAAGATGAGGATATGGGCGGACTGAGAGTTTGGACCACAGGAGACTGTCCGGGGGTCCATAGGGGTTTGGGGCCAGGCGACTCTGAGACCCTGGGGAACCCATTGGTTTGGATGGCCACAGCTGCGCAGTATGCCCCTTGGTTAGGAAACGTTCGATTATTCAATCTGATCCGAGGTACGACAACACCTCACTGGAAACTGTGTGTGGTGAGGGAAATTGTTTCAGGCATAGGTTTGGCATACACACTATGCATATGGCCTGTGTCAGGTTAGGCATACACAAAGTGTAGAGTCGGAAATGGTTTCGAGCGGGACATAAATATTCTAATATAGCTAAATTTTTTTGGTGGGCGGGAGGGGGGGGGGGGTGTTCTCAGCTGCAGTTCTGAGTCTTAAAAAATGGAATCACACTGAAGTTGTATGAAAATTGTAATCAAAAATTGTTCTTTCCTATGTAATTTCAAAATGTGTCAAAGTAACAATAGACATTTTCGTCTCAACTCAGTTACGTAGTCTAAATGTAAATGGAAAAGACTTATTAAGGAGAGAAATCGTTTAAGGAAAATAAATGTTCGACTCTTCAAGCGTTCCAGTATTATTTTCTGATAAATTGACGCGTGTCGATCAAATGACTTCTAGCAAGTGTTAGATGTTAGGTTAGGGAATGGATTTAAAGGAAAATAGTCTGGAATTTCCGATACGATGAAATACAAAACTGCACTTGCTCTGACCTTTGGCTCCTAATTGTTTTTGAATATGAATCATTTTCTGGTCCCGATTTGATTTCCTTCTAAGGCTAGTTAAAAAAAACTCTTAGTACTCCGACACTCTGTGTATTACCCGCACTACATTTTCGTTAACTATTACATGTTAGCTTTAAGATCTGGAGTCAAATGGCCGACTGTAGCACAGTCGGGTAAAGTGTTTGAATGGCGTCATTTGCTTGGTTACGAGCGCATCAAATTTCTTTTGATTATTATATGACGATATTGGAGCCAAACTTGTTCTAGATGATTTTCGCAATGTTCTCAAGCCGATGGTAAATGTTAGACGACCAACGAATTTTTTTATTAGCGGTCTTATGATTGTGGCAGCACAACTTTAAGAGTCGGTAGACCAATATCGGGGTTTATGTAAAGAAATATGTCCAAGACTTTGTGAACTTTCACCGCGAGTGACTGTCTAATTAGATATATCAACAGTAAACGACATTTTGATAGGATTTACTACGATTAGCAAGATGACTTCATGAATATTTATTAGTTGTAATTATCGAGCGAAATTCTCTTATTGGGGTCTCTTTTTTGCCTTTGGTCTAATGTCCAAGATTGAATTGTTCTTGTGGTCAGTTGTCTGAAGAGTACATAGCGTGAAACTCTGAGTAACAACAACATGTTTTTGTAGGCTCTGTTTTAATATTAATATATTTTATATAAAATGAAATGAAATTAATGGAGTTTTACGTCCTACTTTTCTGCTGCATGTGGGCTATTACGGGCAATGCCATGCAGAGTGCAATGAGGGAAATTTTGCCAGGACAGCGGCATTAGCCAACTCTTTTTCGCTTTGCAACTGTCGAGGGATCTTTAACGTGCACAGCATGTAGCATACGGGGCCTCGGTTTATTGTCCCATCCGAACGACAAGATAATATAAGTTATATATCAATATAAGTTTTTGTTTTGATGAAATGTAAATGGCGTTTTTCTTATATTCCAATATTCCACTCAGGTGTGGGATAGTGAATACGAGCTATTCACGCCATACTGTGTGCAATGAGTGAAATTTCGCCAGGAAAGAGACATATCCAACTCTTTCTAAAAACATTAATTACAACCTCCAGCATATCGGCCTTTCAGTTAGTTATCAAAACGACTTGGGCATTAGATATGAAAATTCTACGTATACTTCTGTCCG